TTCAAAGAATGCTTGAAACAGATCAAATGGAACAAGATGGGTACTCTCAGTACCTGCTAGGGACATGATATAATCTTGGCTGTGCCCTGTACACGGGTGATTGGCTGAGAGGGCAGGTGGGGGTTTAAACCCCTTCATTTGGAGTCCCTGGTGGTGCAAACAGTTACTGTGCTTGGTTGCTAACCAGAAGGTTGGAGGTTCGAGTCTACCCAGAGGTGCCTTAGAAGAAAGGCCTGGGAATCTACTTCCCCAACGTCAGCCATCACCTCTTCCATGGAGTGCAGCACTACTCTGACACACGAGAGGTTGCCAAGAGTCAGAGTCAACTTGATGGCAACTGGTTAAATTTTTTTTAAACCCCTCCCCCCCCAATCACCAAGCTAAAGGGTCCTGGTGGACCAGCAGTTAAGCACTCAGCTGCTAACCAAAAGGTTGGCGGTTCAAATCCACCAGCCGCTCCATGGAAGAAAGATGTGGTAGTCTGCTTCCATGAAGATTACAGCATTGGGAATCCAGTGGAGCAGTCCTACCCTGTCCTTTGGTTGTTATGAGTTGGAATCGACTCCATGGCAATGAGTTTAATCACCTGGCTATGAATACTGATGTGGGGCTGCTTCAGCCCAGACAAGTGTATCTTCTTTCTAAGTTGGGATGCCCTTTTCTAATCCTTGGCCCAGAAGGAGCACCTTTTAAAAATCTGAACAAGGCACTGGATGGACAAATAGCTCTGTTGCATGCAAATGGCCAGACCTAGGCCACCGTTTAATTTTTTAACAGAGTAGCACAGGGTGGCAAAGGATGTGAGGAGACACAGAACAGCTTGCCCCATCTGGAAGGCATCTTGGCTCTGGAAATTGTGACCCTAAGCCTGGAGCCCAGGCTGTTGAAAATCTGCACACAGAGCCCCTGTGTGCTTCCTTTCAGGTCCTGGGTCTGAGAGAGTGTCAAGAGGCAAGGGAAGAAGAGAAAAGGAGAGCCGGCCCTCTGCCACAGACCTTGACCTACAACTTGATCCTAGAAGTTCTCTCTGGCTCCCACACCCAGCCCTGAGCTGGTACAGAGACCTCAATCTTTAGCAAAGGGTCCACTTAGTTCCTAGAACTATTTTGAGTGTGGTAGATCAAATCCTTCCTGAAATATCCATCAAATCCCCAGTCATCTATACCAATGAATTAAGCTAGCATAGACACAAACAAGCTTCCAAGGGACCATGGGACAACTTTGTTCATTTGGCAAGATTTGCTGATATACACTCTATGCCAGACACTGATGGATACTTGGGTACTACACGGAACCAGGTGTGGTCCTGCCCTCAGCAAGTTCTCCACCCAGATGGAGACAGACACTGAAATAAGCAATGAGCCCACTGAGCAATACAGAAGAAGGCACTCATTTGCAGTGAGTGGAAGATTGAATGATACAGAGTGTTGTGCTACTGTGGTCTGGGAATTGAGAGGTGGCTTCCCAGAGGAGGTGAGATGAAAGATGAATAAATGTAGCCATGCAAGGTGGGGAAGTGTGTTCTAGGCAGAGGGAACAGCATGTGTAGTGGCCTGGGGCTTGGAGAGCAAGACGTGGTGGCAGAAGTAAAAAAAAAAACCCATACTCCATCTGCTTAGGTTGTGGGGGTCAGGCTGGGTGGGTGTGAACGAGATGAGGTTTGTGAAGTAGACAGGACTGGGTTGTAAAGGGCATCATAATCTGCCTTGAAGACTTTAGATTCATCCAGAGAAATGGGAATTTTAAACAAGTGGGAAAGGTTTGTGTTTGCTGGCACCAAGGTTAACCCAGTAACATTTGAGTAGTACTTTTGTCTCTGTTTCCTGATGATGATGGAGAAATATGATGCTTTGTAGAGTTCTCAATTCCAACCACACAAGTGACCTGTGGATAATGAGGACAGGTGGAGACACTCTGTAAGTGCCCCTGTGAGCTCAGGTGTGGGCCGGAGATGAACACAGCAAGGTCCCCTTCTCCATACACTGTCCCCTCACTGCACAGAAATTCTAGCCCATGGAGATCCATGATACACCAGGGAGATGCATTCAGGTAAAAGAGGAAGGCTGAGAACAAGTACCTGGTGGAGAGAAAGGCCTACGTTGGATGTCCCCAGGTAGCAAGCCACCAGGTAATGGAAACCTGGCCTTTTCAGAAGCCAGCGACTGACTCCACTGTCAACTTTCTCACTTATCTTCCACCCTGGTTCCTGTCAAGATGGCTTTGACTGAGATTCAACTGTGACAGATGCTGCAAGCAAACATTCACCCTATCTGGGGCAGGTTCCATGACCCACCCCTGGACCAAGCCCCAGCCTAAGAGCTCAGGTCTCAGGATCCGGGTGCCTGACATGATGTTTCTTCATTTGTGACAGAGGTGCTGGGAAATATATGGCATCCAAACTGTGAAGGGGAGAGAAAACAGGAAGTGAATGGGTATAGGGCCTTTACATTATTTTAAAATATGTCTCACTCTAGAAAATTCTAACTGGGAAACCTTATTTTGAGGTCTTTCTCTCAAAGCAAAGCTAGCCAGATCACAAAGCAGGTATAATGACAGGTGTGCCAAGTAGAACTTGGTAAAGTTGGACCATCACCTCATTTTTGTGCAAAGCCTCCTGGGAGAATCCACAAAGGAAATCTTAGCTTCCCAACTGCAGACACTGAACTTGAAAGCTGCTGGACTTAGGTCAGTTTTTCTCATAGATCTGGTATCTCTGCCTCACCCTCATGACCAGTGTCTGAGAAGGCAGAAATGGTTCCCAAAGAAAGCGCCAAAGTCCCAGTCCTTTATGCCCAAGGTACCTGCAATAAAATAAGAAAGCTTCTTGCTAGCCAAGTTTGCCCAAACATTTGTGGAGCCTGAGGCCCATATACTATAAAACCAAAAAAACCAAACTCACTGCTGTCGAGTCAGATCCGACTCATAGCGACCCCTTCTTGGGTTTCTGAGGCAGTATCTCTACAGAAGTAGATTGCCCAACCTTCCTTCTGAGGAGTGGCTGGTGGGTTTGAACCACCAGCCCTCTGGTTAGCAGTCTCTCTAAATCAACTCAACAAATTTAAATAAAGTCTTTAGTTGAAAATTGCTAAACGTGTCTGTTTGCAACTTTGACTTTATATGTCTTGACAAACATACCATCCTGATTTGGAAAGTCAGTTTTGAATTTACAGTCTTAGATCCCTCGGAGTGCCTGGTCTAAACATGACAGCATGGGAGAGAACCTGTCCTTAGGCCTCGGCCTTCTCTTTCTCAATTTCCCATCAAGTCCCCCAGGCTGGCACCATCCAACACCATGATGAGCCTCACACACACGAATGTGGACACTTCAGCCTGAATGTCCATGTTCTGTACAAACAGCCACCCTTGGACCTAAGAATGTGCCTACTTGAGGCATGGCCCACCCTTGGGAGAAGACATCTATGAAGGACACTCATAGAGACCCTGGATGGAGCTCAGGGGAAATTTAAACAGAGAAATCTGGGATCTGTTTGGCCCCGTAGATTTCTGCCCCACAGAAAGGTTATCACTGGAGGAGACCCAAGACAGGGGTCCCTCTTGCAGAAGCTAAGCTTGGTACGGTCGGTGAGGGCAAGGACTGAAACCACTGTTGTCCCAGTGATACTGGTCTCAGCATGTAAAGAAACCCATTCATTGAGATTCTACTCACTGCCTTCCCAAATGCTGCCTCTCCCTCACCTCCTTTACTCCTTCATCTACTCTAGATGGGCCCCAAATAGAATTCTGAGGACCCCTCTTCATCCCCACTCACTCAAAAGCCAAATCTCCAAACCCTTTCCAAAGCCCTTTGCTGCAGCACATCCTATGTCCTCTCAGCACTAAAACCTAGATAGTTGCAAACTCTGGCCACCATTTGCAATTCCGTAAAGGTTTCCTGAGGCAACTTGGGCATTGAGGGACTAGCTTATGGTTGATGGCCTGAGGTCAGTCAATGATAAAACCAAACATGGAATTGATGCCCCACCTGTCCAGAGCATAACAATCAAGGTTCAGGGCCCAGTGTGAGGATGTGCAGAAAGGTGTGTGTGTTTTCTTGTCATTTGCGACTCTAACAATGGACTCACGTTGCCCGCTCTTCCCTTTCTCTTACACCTTACCTACCTACTAAAGGAGGAGTTCTTGCTTGGTAAGTGGATACAATCCGCAAAGACATGAGAGAATTTATTAGAAGCCACTTGAGAGCCTTAGCTACCTTCTACAGGGGGAAAAGGACACACACAAATATCCGTAGACACCTTTTTTGTTTGTTTGTTTTCAGTCAGACTGTTTGACTTCCATTTTTTTTTTTTTTTTGTCCTCCCCTTCTTTTCCCCTTTAGTTGAAAATTTCTAAACGTGTCAGTTTGCGACCTTGACTTTATATTTTAAGAGACCAAAAACTCTCATCTTTATTTCATTTCTTTTCCCCCATGTGATATTTGTTTAGGTTTTATCCAGGCAACTTTTTTCTTTACCAAAAAAAAAAAAACAGTAAAACTCACTGAGGATTTGGTTGAAGTTTAAATTTTTGACTTTGTCTCCTTATTTTTATTTCCAAGGTATATTTTTTTCAGGCCCATAGCCCTGTTTCTTTTCCCCCTTTCCTTTATTTTCTATTTTGATTATTATTTTCTTTTTTAGGTTGAGTTAAGGGTGTTTACACCCCCCCCCCTTTCTATTCTATTGTGTTTTCTCTTTTGTTTGAATTAACTCATTAGAAATTAAAATTCCATGATTTCCTTTTTCTTTTGTTTCACCTGGACCGCATGCCTTTTCTCTGCATGATACCCCAATCTTCCAGTTACTCTAGCAGGGGGTAAACAAATATCTCCTTTCTGTGGTATTCTTTCAGGAATTTGTGTTTTTGTTTTTTGGCGTCTCTTCTCCTCCTCTCTCTCTTTCCTTTCGTTACAGTGCATCATGACGGTAAACATTTCTTGCTTATTTAGACACAGCCCACAGGCCCTGGGCTCAGCAGTGTCCAACGGGTCTTTTTGCTTTCAGATCACTGGGTCGGGGTCTGCTGCTGACCTCTTTACCAAAACAGCCAGCCCGCGCCCCACCTCGCGAGGATGCTCCCAGGAGTATGACTCAGGCAACGACACCTCCTCACCACCCTCCACGCAGACCAGCTCGACCAGGTCACGGGGTCAGGAGAAGGGGAGCCCCAGTAGGGGCCTGAGCAAGAGCCAGGAACTCAACAGTGGCAACACTTCTGATTCAGGGAACTCCTTCACCACCTCCTCCCCCCAGAACAAGGGGGCATCTTTGGAGAATCTCTCCCCCACCACCAGGGGCAGAGAGTCAAGGTCAGTGCACCTCAGAGGGTGGGATGGGGATCCTGCCTTAGCTCTACCATCTTAGTCTCTCACCCCAGCTCCTCAGGACTTTTTCATTTGCAAGACAGAGAAAAACTCAACTCCAGTTCAATGTAGCATCAGGTACAGCTGCATCTAGAGACTCAATATA